CAGAACCCTCTCTGATTCCCTAATTCCGCCTCATGTTTCGCCCCGCCCTCCGCTTGGTTCTTACTTTTGTCTTCTTCGAGAGGTCCACGGCAACGTCTACCAGGAAGAGCCTGTGCTGCGGAACCAGTTATGGGAGTACTTAACTTAGATACTTAGACGACCCGTTGATCAGCACGGCGGTTGGCCTTGCGCGGGTCCCCTCCTCCGTTCAGAGAAGGGCTTGAAAACGCAGAACCAATTACAACTATCGTTTTCCATTGCCTCACAGCGTATCAATGGACATTGCATTCGTTGTCAATTGTACCAGCCCATCCTCTTACACATTTCTTCGGGTTCGGCCCATGCGTGGCAATTGCCCCAACCACAACTTCAAATTTGTTTTCACGCCGTCTGAAACAGCACTGTTTTCTATCTATTTCCTTTGATAGAAAATTGCTTCAATTTATCCAACCCTTCCCTTCCTAATTCATGTGGGCTAAAACCCGCCATCTTCATTGTGCGTTGGGCTCTTAAAGTAATTAAAAGTATTTATGTACAAGTGCAACAATGAACATCGGTCGCTGGTCCCCGCACCGCCCACAGTAATTTGTGACTTTTCTTTTAAACACTACTTAAAATAGATCCCATGCCCCCAAATCAAAATTATGGTCATAATGTTTTATGCAAGAGTTATGACTTTTCGTAAAAGGCATAACCATGAAATTTTAAATTGTTTCGCCATTAGCTAAAAACTAAGAAGGTGGAAAATTTCAAACTTCCTTAGTTTCTTTGCTTATCGGCATCGTAATAGCTTGCCAAACTCGCTATAGATGATACTCTATGTGCTCACCATAATAGTAAGCAAACAATGGCTAGAAGAAAATTTTGCGCTCACGGGCAAAAAATTCAGGTCCGAAAGGGTAAGGACACAGGATCATACCGTTGTTTTCTGTTGCCAAAGAGTCTGACACAGACTGTCATATAGGAGGGCGTCAAAGTGGCCCGTGTTTCTTGACTGCGTGTGGGCGAATACCATTGAGCAGTCCTTCGAGCTCCAATCGTCCGATCGTTTCTTCTGATCAATCCCAGCCAACCGCTGCTGTTCGCCTTTCATTGACGTGAACCAATAACGTCCTAATCCTTCGCTCATACGCTGCTGACGTAGAACTTGTGCAGGCTCGGTTTCCCGTTGACGGCTATCGCGTTAGGCCCCTATCAGACGGTATATGATAAGATAACGTTCAATTGATGCCTGGCGTATTGAAGCCGTCTTTACCTAGCGCAAATTTACTATGTTTAAGGCCCGTCACGTGTTATCCAGCAGCGTAGCTGAGCTAGTAGCCACTGACATTGAACAGGTCGGCCGCGTCGATCTTTCCGATCCTTGTATGCCTCCTCGCAACACTTACTTGATTTGGAGTTAAGTGTCTGTCTCCATCACAGCCTTTACGACGTCGTTGCGTCTAGCTGTCACTCTCTCTCGGAAAGAATCGTTCTTCCCTGTTGAGCCACTGCTTCCCAAGGTATATGTTCTTCCTCCCTACACTATCTCTCGAGTTGGACTTCCTTTTTATAGAGTACATGAGGGCTGCTACGCTGAGAAAAGCAACTTCCGCACTTGCAACCTTCGTTTTGGAGGTGTTGATAGCGAGACGCGCAATGACCTTCCTGTCGTCAAGAAAGATTTAGCATCTCAGATGCATGCTGCTGGCGATACATTCCCGTAATCAATACCGACGTGTCATCGGCCTATAATCAGAAGTTGATTCAAACGCGACTTGCCGTCGATATAGTTGATTCCTTGTTCTGCTCCAGTTGCACGCGCGCTATCCGCGGATTCAGCAGAACAGCAGGCCGTAATAGGTTAGAGTGATATTCGTGTATCTACATTGTCGCACGAGTTTTCTTAACTGCAACAACAACGTTTCATTAGTAGGACAAAGGGCGAAAACACTATCTATTTTTTTTCTGTTGAATACTATTTCCGCTGGTAGCTTCACCGCAGCACAGTCCACCGTACACCTTTCGAGACGCCTTGGTGCTTCCAGCGCCTCCATACTCCGTTGTTCCACTGAATCACCCCGCCTTCTGTAGTCAAGAATGTCATCAATCAAGGCATTTGATGCTGCGCGATGCTTCAGATAAGGCGTCGACAGATCATAATATGTTCGAGCGTGCTAAATGCGGCGAAAAGCCTGCCTCTCCACTGGCTGAGTCCTCTTCCAATGTTCGTGGATATGCCGCCATATTCAAACGCGTTAAACACTCGTTGTAGAATAATCCGCAGCAGAGTGAATTGTGAAGATAGTTTGAAAGGTCTTCTTTATCGCCTTCTTATGATGCAGTAACACTGTCGATGACTGCTTGCCACGCCCCTTGGAACTAGCACATCAAGCTAACATAAAGGGCCTTAATACTCTCTTACAGGGCCTCGATATAAGGCAGACCGCTAATCTCGAAAAGTTCTATAGTGATGGTCCGTTCTCCTTTACTTTCCCGGCTGCCTGTTTTCTGGGAGCATTACTGCCTCCCTCAGTTCCGCCCCCACCCACAAACCGCCCAACACAGTCACATGGTCCGAGCACTTCCGATGAGAAAGGGCCAATACTTCATTTGGTGCTCGCGGCATACCATCTGAAATGCCGGGATGTCCTGACTTGAAAGGTGCTTGGTGTTGTCAATTCTTGCTCGCAGAATTTGCTCAATTTCTTGTATCGAGAGCACCGGTGATCCGTCTGGGCCTGAGGCACGAGCGGTCCATCCAGCGGTGTTCGCAATCCCTTTTCTGGTTGCTCTGTGCGAGGAGTTCGAACGGGTCTGTTTTCCCGCCTCGGCGTAGGAGTCTTGCACCATTAAAATGATAAACAATTAGGAACAGTGGTATTCAAAGCAATCTACCAGTTTTCTACCCACAACCGGCACTGATTAGGTGTAGTCTCCAAGTAGGTTTTCTTCGTCTCTACCATTAGAATGCCCTGCTGTATGTACCTCAGAGAAGAGCAGCACGAAGGTAGCACTGCAGTGATACGACGAGCAGTTATGATTTCGGAGCCAGTAACGGAAGGCAGGACAGCTTTCCTTCGCAAAGTTCTTGTTACCGCTTGCTACCGAGGCTCTATTCTGTATATCGTAGTTGTGACAACGGTCACCAACCATTTCAAAGTTCTTCGCTTGCAACCCTTGAGTCAGCGTCTACGTCTAGAGCGGTAGGTGTGGAATGTCTTGAGCGTATGCGCATCAGGCGCACTAGGCTGCGGTCGAAATGGAATCGTCCTCGGAGTAGACGGTGATCGCTACCCGTGTTGAACGAAGGCACCACTGCAACATCTGTCATGATTCTACGGTTGCATAAGATGCGATCCAACTCATGACAATGCTGCCCATTCATGGTTACGTGAGTCCATCTTCTTTCCGGCGATTTGATGAACTGACTATTGCCGTGATAGAAATGATGGAGTTCGCAAAAATTTGCTAGTCTCTGCCCAGCTTCGTTACGATCTTCGGCTGAATGTGGACCAATGAAGACCTCCCCGGCTCTCCTTGATCCAACACCAGCGTTGAAGTCGCCCATTATCACGACGTAGTTGCGTTGACTGCGAATGGGAGTACCTTGATGTATTTTATAGGGATGGGGAGGTCTTGAGGGATGTTCCTATAAGCATGTGGTCGATTTCCGTCTGTCTCCCTCCATTGGTGTAGGTTCCCTTATGAGTCTTCCTTTTTGCAAGAACGTGCCCCAGACCGCCAGATTGTGGGTTGAAGTCTAGAATCCTCTCTCTTCTGCGCTCCCACCTCCGTGTACTCCTTCCAAGAGTTTTGTCCCTAATGACGTGACCATTCAGCTGACCTGCCATTGTTAAGTAGTCCCCTTTCGGAGTCGACCTACTCCCCGCGTCAAGGCGCAGATAGAAATCCAAAACCAACAAACCAATAAAATAAGAATTCTCACTTTTGGAGCAATCGATTGCGGTTCATACACGCACACCGCCTACTTCGTTCCTAACCTTACGCCCTTAATTCGATTGGTGGTTCCGTTCATGACAGAGGTGCTTCCCCAGATGATTCCGCTGGCGTTGTTAACACGAGTTCTGCTGTCCCTATTGAGGGTTTGACACTCTTCAAGTTCCCTGCTCTTAACTCCTCTCATCGTGTCTCCTGAAGGCATAGGACTTGGATATTCCGGCGTGGTTCGGATCAGCTACCTCTTTCAACTTCCTGGTGAGCGGCTCTACGTTCAGAGCCCTTTAGAGTTCAGAGTATTCGAGCTAGCTTCCTCTTCGGCTGAGTTCGTTCACTTCTGGGTAGCCTTCGCATACTAACCGTAGAGCTCGAGTGACACTTCTGCGCGCTACTTCCGGGACTTAGCACTATCACTGATTCAGCTTTAACACATTGCAAACAATATCCATCAGGAGAATAAATTCGAAAGAAGACTGAAATTCTGGGCACTGTTCGATGAAATTGAAATGTATCCTCAAATCGCAGTTTAACTTACCAAAAAGCAAAGATAAACATCCAGAGCACTTCTTTGCTCCATAATCCCATAATCTACAGGATTTCAGGAGAAATTGTTAACCGTATCAGAGGTTTGACTCAATTCTCGCTCAATATGACTGCATGACGATTCCTGTTCTTTTTTTGCTACAATTTACACTTTTTCAAAGTCCAACTGCCTTTCTTTTCTCTTGTGGGAGCATTAAGGTGAAAGACTGATAGTTGCGACTCAGTTCTGTGAAGCAGAAATGCATTCTGACGACGAAACACATAACAAATAATGTCGTTCAAACTTTTTGTTCATCTCTTCATGCACAGGGAGAGGATACTCTCGTCGTTTAGCCTTCGTTAGGGCACGTGCGACACAGAGACGAAACTACTCTTTGAACCCCTAAAGAAGTACGAATAACACAATAGTATTGAATCTCAAAAGCAGTCTTAAGTGTAACTGTAACTGAATGGTTCAATTATAATTATTAGTAATTTTATCAATTTTAGATCAACGCGCGCGAGAAGCGGAGGAAGCCATGCGTAAAATGGCTCAAAAAGCGCGGGAGCAGCACAGACAGCTGATCAGAACATCAACAAGTATTTTACCAGCTCTTAATGACACGAAAGCAACATCCTTGAGGGAGGCAATGTAAGTTTTTCTGAATTTTCATTCGCCTCATCTACTGATTTTTGAGGTACAGCCATTTTTCATACTTCTCGAAGGACACACGAGCGGTCAAATATTGGAAATTCTTTTTTCTATCGTTTAATCTAGCATGACCAACAGACCAGCAAATCGTCCCCAGATCACATCACTCATGCTTACGAAAACAAGTGCAGAGTACGATGCAGCAAACACAATTTCTCGAATCAAAATTATTAAAAAGTACGAGTTTTTCTAAAAGTAGCACGTCAAAAAGTTGGAAATTTTTGTTTCTTCGTCGTTATGATTTCTACTCTTCTCTGTCCCAATGTTTTTGACAATTTTTTTTACTATTAAGTATTTTGTACTAATTAAGTGAATTCGTGTAAAAAAACCTTCACAATAGAAAGGTTTGTCTAAACCACACCCTATTGTCCCGAAAACGAAGTAAGCGGCTTACTAGCAGTATATCAGCTGTCTAACAGAAAGCACATGTATGAAGTAAAATAGCCAGCGCCAACATAGGTTTCGTCTCGTCGTCCGAACGCAAAGCTCGCCCAGTTAATGTCTTACGTGCCACAAAGCCGCGATACCGGTTCACACGAAGTCACCCTGGCAGGCAAACTGGGCAGAAATGTATACGTATTAAAAATTCCAATGAGGATATGGCCCCAGCGTCTCGCCCCCGCTACACTTTCTCAATCAAGCAAGCACGGCCATTTCATTCCGCTCTCATCCGACGCGTTTGTTGCGCGCCTATTCCTAGCAGAATTGTAGCCTGTTCATTACGCTTTATGGTTTTCCTTCCAGTCGTACTGGCAGGACTCGGTTGGGATTTGGCGACATTCACTGAATATTTATTTGGAACGTTATAGCTAACTCAGCCAATTCTGAAATAACGTACACATTCTGTACGCATTCTTCGAGAACGCTCGCTCGAAATCATGGCTTTCTTATCTGATACTCTTCT